GGACTTTGGCCCAACCTAGTGTCTTTCATTGCTAAGAGTTTCAGAAAAACGGGGACTGTTGCGTGTAAATCAGTGGGAACCACTGGGCCCCACAGCAGGCTTTGCTCACTGTGCTGATGTCCCTTCTAGAACCTGTTCTTTGTCTCTTGGAGAGCTGCAGAGTCAGAAGGGGCTTTACAAGATCTGAATCCCTTCTATGGCCTATTGAAGAGAGGTTGTCCCCGCTGTGAAATCTTCCTGGGACCTTGACCACACTATGTCCTAGGAATCTCTTCCGACTTTGCGGACTCTGATGACTTTTCTCAGTTCCGATCGCCACCACTCTGGTCCCAGCCACCACCTCCTCTCACCAGAACCATTGCTGCAGCCTCCTAACTGCTCTCCCTGCTCCCATTTCAGTCTCTCTCTAAACTGTTCCTCACACCAGAGCGTTGTTCAAAAGACAAAAATCAACCAAGTCAGTCAGTACAGCTTCTCATGGCCTTTTGATTAAAATCCACTCTCTGCTATGCCACACCCCCCAAAGCCCTGCTTTCTACCTATTTTCCCATCATTCTCTCTCACCATTCTCCTACCCACACACGAAGTTTCAGCACAACTTGCCTTCTTCCATTCCTTTGGACACACGAACTCTTTTTTTTGCCTCAGAGATGCTGCTTGGAGCACTCTTTCCATGACTATTTAAGTAACTGTCTCCTCATTCTTTAGGTCTCTGTTGAAGTGTCACTTAGAGAGAAAGGTTTTTCCTGGCCATCTGTTTACAGTGGGTCCCTCTGACTAATGTATATCTCCGACCCTTTTATTGCTTACTTTATAATGCATTGTTTGTAATTATTTAGTAGTTTATTTGATGGTTCATTTGCGTCAGCCTGTCTGGCTGGCTGAAACGTGGCCCCCTGGGGTGGGGCTTGTGAGCGCCCCCTTCAGTGTGGTGTCCCCAGCACCCAGCACCGAGTGGCTGCGCTCAGTAAAGATATGTGGGTCAGAGGAACACATGGCAGTGGGTTTCCTTTTGTTTAACAACTTCATCTGCTATGAAGTAATTTAAAAATTTGAACCCTGTAGTCATGGTTACCATTGATCACATTTCTCTTTGGAATTCCCTTTTTATAAAAAAAGATCCCCTCCATCCCCCACATATTTGAAGAGCATTTCTTGTCCTTTCTCTAAGGCTTATTTTCTCTAGTCAAAACATATCCAGCTTGTTTAAAAAAATTCTCAGTTTTTTAAAATTTTTACCCAGTGAAATGCCATCTTGTCTGATGCAGCCTATTGTTCTTTTGGCCTATCGAATCCATTTTTGGATTCAAAATGTCTCATTTACCATAGTGGTTATGCCTCTCATTTCTGAGGCCACTTAGAAATTTGATAAATATGCTAGTTAGCCCTCCTACGATTCTCTAGCTAATATGTTGAATGCCCCTAGAGAGAATTCTTTCTTTAGGCATTGAAAACTTAATGAGACCCTGGCAAAGCTTAGAGACCCTTGCTTTAAATATAAAGCAAAGAGTGGAATATTGTAACCAAGAAACACACTTTCCTATAGTCGTCTAGATGACATTTCAAATTGGATATATTGCCTGCTTCATACAGTCAACATATTTGAAAAGAAGCATAAATTATGGTACATAATAGTTGGCAGATATTTCAATGATCATTTTGAAGGCTGTAGGAACACAGAATAATGATGCATAGTAAATGTGGAAAGCATAATAAAAGATTATATTATGAGCAAATTTATTCTCTATTTTGAGATGTATCTTTCTCATTTATAATGAAAAACACATATGTATATGAAGACTTTACTTATATTCCTGTTCTAAAAATAAGTGCTTTTTTAAATGAAACTTCCCTTTCCACAGAATTATGGATCAAAAGATGCCCTTAGGTGATGGAAGGCATACAGTCTTTTGGGGACTGGGAGAATTAAGTCCTGCCTCATTTTATAACTCAGAGGGCTTAAAAATATGTTTGCATCTTATTTTCTAAGTTTGTGCTTTCTTTCTTTTGAATGGTACTGATGCTGCATTCCTATGAAACTTATTTTTAGAAAAAATGTGAAATGGATAAAATTAAGAAATTTTTTCCTTTTCCTTTTATCATTTCTATGTCCTCAGTTAATGACTCCACATGGTCCCCACTGCAGCTGGGCTTACTCTTTAGGACGCACACCAAAGCTGACCTGTTCAGAGTACTCTTTCCTCATAGCATCTATCTCTATCCCATTGGAGAGATTTCCTTGGCTCCAGAAATATTATTGAACAGCTCTGGTTGGTGTAGCTCAGTAGATTGAGCACGGGCCTGCGAACCAAAAGATTGCCATTCCATTCCCAGTCAGGGCACATGCCTGGGTTGCAGGCCAGTTTCCATCAGGGGATGCACCAGAAGCAACCATACATTGATAAAAAATAAAATAAAAATAAATGAATAAAAATCTTTTAAAAATACTATTGAACATTACAATAACTGATAAAATTCAGAAAAAAAATATAAAGAAGAAGGGGCAACTCACTCACTGTTCAACCACCCAGAAAAAAGCCCCTCCATTTAAAAACAGTTAGAAATCCATTTGCTTTAAGGAGCTTAGTTATGGCTGATAATGCCTTATTCTTGCCTCTCCTGTGGTAAGAATTTTTTCATTCTAAGCTAACTGGTCTTTAAATTCCTGAATTTCAAGGAGTGGCTCATTGGTGGACATTTTATTCACTGTGATAGGGCTGCCAAAACATTTCTTAGGACAAAGGGGCTGTTTGCCTTCTTCAAATGAAACCAGTAAGACAGTCACTTACCCCACCTTCTAGAAAATGCATCCCTTCTCTTCAAGGTCCCATGCAGAGAAGATGCAGCTTAATGCTCTTCCCGTTTTTTCATTCAACTGTTCATCTTTGTCCTCACTTTCCACGCCCAGGCAGCTCTCCAACTCCCAATGACGGCTATTAAGGCAGGCCACCCAGCTAGTCTCAGTCTTCTCTGAATTCCTGTTATGCTTTATTGTCTCTTCTACTTGCCTTTTTCCAGCCTCGTATTTTTCTCAAGTTGTTTCTTATAAAGAAGGCCTGCTTTTCATCCAGACATGGCTCCAAGGGCCAAATCTATGCCTTACACACACATACAAATTCATCAGAATGCTTAAGGACCTTAGGGCTGGTGCATCTTACTGCACATGCATTACTCAAAACTAATCAGAATTTTCCCCTCAGAATATATTCAAAACAACTAATTCTTCTTTCGTGTCTCCTTAATAAAGACAAGAGAATGTTAGAAAACTTTCCATAGTTTTTGAAATATTTGCAGTTTCAGCATCCTGGAAAAAGCTTCTTATGGCCAGAACTTTATGGTTAAAGCGAAATATAGAATCCATGGTTGCATCATTTCCCGCATTCTTTACCCCCAAGACTTGGCCTGTAGTCACCAACAGCACTTGAGGTGTCCAAGCTGACAACCAAAGTGGTAAGGAAAGATCATGTCAGTGAAGCAAGAGCACCTCACTGTTATGGCAGAGCCCATTCACCTGATCAGCAGGGATAGCATGGTGGCAGCTGCAGATCAGAGAGTCTGATGCATTGAGCTTCCAAGGAAGAATGTAAATCACATGCAATCTCTCAAGGGGTGTGGGTGGGAAGGTGCATTATGGTACTTGGACCTAGAAACTTATTTCATGGCATATTTTCTTTTGAACTTCTCTAGGCCTATCATGGAAGAGCTACTGTTGAACATGTAATGGGTGAAAATATAGCATGAAGATTCAGAGTCTGGCACATAGAAAGCATACAATAAATATTTAGTGGCTAGATAAATTAGTACACAGATTTCAACCCTGCCTTTGCCTCTAATTTTCAAGCAACCTTGGAAAGCTGATGAACCTCTGTAAGCCCTGGTTTTTTCATCTGTAAAATATGGTTGCTAGTGCCTTTCTTATAGGACTGCATGTATTTTAATAATCTGTATTAAAATACAGAGCACAGTGATTTTTCAAAAGTAAAAGAGTAATACTTATTATTGTTACTAGTAGGTACTGTTTGTAAATTAAGACTCTTCTAGTTATATTTTGGTGTAGGGAAGCTTTTAATTATACTTTTTCTCTGTGTTCAGTCTAGTTGCCCAGGTGTACATCCGGGTACACCACAGGGCCTCAGTGAGTGTTTGTTGCTGTACCCTTGCAAAGGCAAAATTAACATCTGTTTTCCTCATTCTTCTCCTAGCCCAACAATAGAACCTCCCTCATTATCCACTGAATAATTGCAGTGAGGCTAATTAATGGTGGCAAAAAAATGTTTCATGTGTGATAAATGCCAGATAAACCCTATAATGGTAAAATTGCGATCTATGTCATGAGTGTATTTCTGGGGAGGAAATACTTAATAATTTCAAGAGGTTGACCTGCTCCAGCCAGAGCTACGGACCTCCAGGGGTCTGGTGTAATTTGCAGAAGGAATCAGGCTCTTTGAGAGCAAATGATCAAACTTTGCAGAAACCAATCTACAAAATTCTGCTCCCATTTTGCACTTGTTGCTCCTCCAGTGAACCATGACTCCTGGTATTCATGCTCTTGTGTTGTCCCCACCTTGACTCTGGGCTTGGCTACTGACTTGCTTTGGCCAGTGGGATCTCAATACATGTTATGGAAGCAGAGTCTCAATGAACGGCCTCCAGGAACGCTTCCTCTTGCCATCCAGGCTCCACGCTGTAAAGATGCTCAGGACAGACCACTAAATGAGGAGAGGCCATGTGGAAAGACCCTGATGGATGAGAGCCAACTTAGTCATGCCTCAGCTGGGCTCACAGCTGCGTGCAGCACTGGAGTGACCTCAGCTCTGCCCCAAGTGACCTCCCAGCTAAGTCCTGTCAACCCAGAGACTTGTGAAATATAATAATATTTTGTTACATTGAGCCATTGAATTTTGGGTGTCTTCTTTATATAACAATAAATAATGGACACATAGTCTCTTTCCTCTCATCATTTGCTCTCAAAGAACCTGTTTGTTTTTTTTTTCCTGCAGATTGCACCAGACCACTGGGTGTCCATTGCTATGGCCAGAGCAGGTCAGTCTCTTGAAATTATTAAGTATTTCCTCGCCAGAAATACACTCATGACATAGGACCCATGGATGGACCAGATGGAAGCATTGCCTGCTATACCTCCAAAAAATAATCTTGGTGTTCACAACAGGCAACCCTTGTTTAGCCTGGGAGGAGATTATGCATCTCCTCAGATGCCTTGATTTTATCGATGCAAACACTGAGGCTCAGAGAGAATAAGTAACTTGTCCCAAATAACTGGTCTAGGTCTTCCAATTTAGCCTTCAATGTTTCTTCCATCAAGAGCCTTCAGACTATGCTTAGTTTCAAAGAAAATTTCAAACCAAAAGCATGTCATGGTATCCAATTTATATATAACAGTTTTTATCTACTCATACAACAATCTCTGATGACTGTATATAATTCTTTTCTAACTTGAAATAATAACTTAAATATCTCATGAGATTCACATTGTCCATGGAAATTAATAGCTAATTGAGCCCAGGGAATAAAGTATTGGCTAAAATACAGATATCTTCAGAAGAAGTAGAGAAATGATTCATACAGATTTTTTCAATACTTTTTCCAATTACAGGCAACATACAACATTATGTTAGTTTCAGTTGTACAACATAGTGATCAGACATTTATATAACTTACAAAGTGATTGCTCTGATAAGTCTAGTACCTATCTGTTCCTTACGCGGTACTTGGCTTCTCTCTAAAAGTTACACTAGGCCTTTAAGAGTAAAAAAATGATGTCTCACTTAATTCTGCAGACACTCTCGTCTATTGTTCGCTTGTTTTTTTGGTGCCAGGCACTGTGGCTTACAGGGGTCTAGAAGGAATGAGACAGTCCTTGTCCTCAAGAGGATTTGACTCGAAGTTTAAGTGACTTATTCAGATTCACAAGGCCAGTTAGTGTTAGGCTGGGGCTGCATCTGAGGACTAGCCACCCTACTGGGTGGCAACCAAATGCCAGATGGCCTTCTAGAGTTGTGAGCCATGCTTCATTTTTGTAATTATGGCCTCAACAGGTGATGTATTCTTTGGGCCCCTAACTCCTTTTAAGATTATAGTCACAAATTCTGAGGGCTTTGCCATAGTTTACACTTTCTAAGACTCCCCTTTATGTGTCAAGTGAAGCTTTCTTATAGATTAAATTCAGCTTTTCTTTCTCTCATTCATTGGGACAGGGGTATGATCTAGGCTATGGTGTTATCGTTGCATTCCTAAGAGGCCTCTTTGTAAAAATCACTTTAAAAATAATTATTTCAAAGAGAAAATAGGGGATTTAGGCTCAAAATAATAGAGTAATTTTGCCTGCAGGCATTTCAATAATACTGGTGTTTTTATAGCTTTAAGTCTATAGTTATAAAGCTAAATATCCTTGGGCAATCCAGCTTTGATTACATCTAGCTTTTGATGAGAAGGCATGGCCTTTGTTTTTCAATCCTCACCAAGACTATTGTTGTCACAAGGCTTCTTAGCCATTTTTATCACATTTTGCACCCATTGTTGGATAAACATATCACAGAATCACTCAAACAAAGCAGCTGACAGCAAGTTTTTTTCTCTTTGATATAATGTTAGTTCTAGCATTATAACCATGTGCATAATGAAAATCACATGTCCCATTATTGATTCCACAAATATTTTTTGATGCCCACATAGTCAGGCACTGAGCCAGGCATTGGGAATACAGTGGTAAACAAGACAGACCAGCCTGTGCTGTTGTGCAGCCTGCATGCTAATGGAGGAGATGGTCCCTTAACACCCGATGTAATGTTATGTGGTGTAAGTGGTATGAAAAAAGGTGGAGTCGGAGAGGGACCAGTGGCTGGATCATGCTGAACCTTGGAGTCATTGAAAGGGCTTTGGATTTTGTTCTGAATGTGGTAGAAGCCATTAGAAGTTTTTGAGCAGAGGAATGATCTAATACATTACTATTTTAGAAGATCTCTTCTGGTTGCTGTAGGACAGATTGTAGAAGGTTAAAAGGGAGAGATGGAGAAAGCGAGGAGACCACTGTAGCCTGGATTCCTCTATAAAGCTGAGCCCAGACAAGGGGTTGTTTATAGGAAGTGTGTTTTGGAAAGCGATCCAAGGAAGAGAAGGGGGAGGCATAGGAAGAGTGAGACAAGAAAGAAGGCATTGTCAGGGTTATATTCCACCAGGGGTGTCTGGGAGGCCAAGTGGGAATTCACCTTTGAACTGTTCAGCTCCTGTCCTCCATTGGTCCATGCCTGCCCACTCGTGTGTTCACTCCCTTGGCCTGCCATGTTTGTGCAGGAAGCAGAGTGACAGAGTAGTTCCCATAACATCCCACATTCCAGGCAGCAGGGACAGAAGCGAGGTTCCGTGGGGCTGCTGAGACGCAGTGAGGGCATCTGCGCAAGAGGCATCTGATCCAGAGAGCAAGTGCAGTGAGAGATGCTGGGGGCTCAGACTTGGACAGCCGTGGGGAGGTGCTGAGAAGCGGGCTACCCCCTGGGTTGTATCCCAGTCACTTTGTGGAAATTTGCATTGGAATAAAAATGTCTATATTTTGGCAGTGAAACAGACCCCTGGTTCCTCAGCATTTTGCCTCTGTGATATTATCTCCACTTCACGGTCCCGCTCTCATGCTTGCTCACACAGCTGCCCATTTTGTGGACATCAAAGTTTACCTTTTAAAACAAAGAAACTGATGAATGAAGATTTAGTAACCTGCAAAGAAGCCTCTTTCACCTATATGTCTTCTTTATTTAACATACTTGATGGATTGTACAGGCAAATGAAGGTGCTGGGAGCAAACTCAAATGAGCTGTGTACTTGGACAGGCAAATGTACCTTGTTTTAGACAAATGTCTTCAAGGATAGAAGACGTATGGGCAATTTCAAAAATATCTGTTTAAAAGTTAAACAACAAAAGAATACCCCTCCCTTGGTCACGGTATTCAGGTTTCTTATATCATGCGAACTGAAGGCCAGGAGTACAATTTTCATGGTATGAAATGCAACATTTTGAAAAATAATATGCAGTGGGGTGTTTCTCAGGAAAAGAAAAACATCTGTAATTTGTTTTTTAAAATCTCCTGGTGGGTAAAGGTGCCTAGAAGAGTGCTCAGGAGAAGAGCGGTCCAAAGACTGTTGCCAAAGGCCGCGGTGAGGAGGCTGAGTGGCAATGCATTATGGCGTCCGAGGTGGCTGTGCATCTTCTGGGAAGTGTTTTAGGATGCACTTGGGGAAGCCTTGTCTCCCTGGTCTTGTCTGCCTATCAAGTTGGCTCTGCTACATTTTTATTGTTCTCTACAGTCCCCGTAAGTTTTTTGTTTGATCTCACTTAGGCAAAGTGTGAATAATACTTTTACTACTACTAATTTCAGTTTAATCAGCGCTCTGTTATGCAAACACTGTGCCAAGCCCTAAACATACCTATGCATTGGAAAAGAACAAGTGTTTTCTTAGTAGAGGATGTGAGAAGTCTGTGGAGAGGGACAGCTTTTGCAGAAAAGTTTCTCCAACTCACTGAGGTGCGGAAGGAAGCCTCTGGGGTCTGCAGGTAGGGGTTCCAGGCTATCCCCAGGTTTAAAAATAAGGAGGACTCCTCGTGTTAGCAAGTGGGATAAAAAGGAGAGGATAGAGCTTCCAAGAACTGCTGTACGATGAGGGTGAGAAAGGAAGAGGCACCCCATGGCTTGAACCAGGAGGAGTGACATGGGAATTGAGCCTGTTTACTGGGGACTCTTTAGCTGAACCATTTGTACTCCTTGTGCTGTGAGCCCTCCTGCTGACAAATCTTTGTTATAATTATGAGTCATGATTTGCAGAGAAAGCCGTTTGGTTTCAAGGTAGACTTCAAGTTAACAGACTCAGGTTTTGCAAATAAGTTGGAAGAAGGCCAATAACTGGTTTATGCTCAAGAGGCAATGATGTGAGTGATTAAGAATATGCATTTGAATCCTAGCGCTATTATGTTATAGTGTTTCTCCATTTGCTCTTACTATTCTCAGCATTACTTTGTGCCCCGGGAGGCTGACCTCTGTCTACATTGTTATGTCATCTGGACCCCCCTGGTCTCGGACTTCCAGCTGAGCTTGATCAATGAAATGGGAGGCACTGGCAGAAGATTAGAGATTGGGAGAAAAGAGATCAGAATGGTAATTCTCTCTGTCCTTTCCTGCCAAACTGTGGTTTTGGCAGTGACTAGGTTTCTCTATCTACAGCCATCTCTCCATGTGTACGATTCTCACCTGGTTTCAGCTACATCAATCTCTCTTCTTGTCCCTTCAGGCCTAGAGGTGATAATGACTTTCTGTTGGGTAGTCCCTGAATCCATCTTATATTTTTTGCTTAATTCTGCCACACACGAAACACTCTGTTCCCCTTTGAACATTCCTACCTCCCTGATTGTTGTAGTGAGTAACCTTGTGCAAGTATTTAACTGTTTTGTGCCTCTGTTTTTACATCTGCAAAGTGGGACTGGCATTAGTATGTAGCACATAGCATTAGTTGTTGGTACATTAAAGCAATAAACAAAAATAAAAGTACTTTGCATATTGAAGTAATATAGTAATAGCAAATAATTATGTTACTTATTACAGTGATATTAAGTGAAGTTTCTTATTTTATCCTTAAAATAATTCTATAAGGCAGATATTATTTTCCTTATTTTGTAAATGGAAAAAAAAACAAAACCTAAGGCCTAGTGAAATTTAGATACCAGAGCTGTGATTCAAGAACTAGGTCAAACTGGGGAGCTTTTTTTTATTTTATTGCATAAAATGAGATTTCCCACCTAGTTAAAGGGAAGAGAATGAATTGTAAGATTAGTAGCCAGCAAAAAGCATGCTGAAATACTCTGGTTATGATGGAGTATTCCGGAGATTTATTTTTAAAGAAACCAATCTCCTAGAAGTGACTTTGGACAATAAAAAGGACATTTGTCAATGTCAGGTCATGAAACACAACCTTCCCCCTCTCTCCACTCCACAAACAGAGCTTGTCACTTAGATTCTTTTTTTTTTTTTAAGCCAAATTGA